AAAAGGAAGTGCATATTTATGTCTGAAATACACGGGAGCCCAACCAAAGGGTTTGTTAATTTTAAAGTTAGTTGTTATTTTGTAATGTCTCAGCTAAACTGATCTGTAGAGTAATGTAATCCAGTAGAGTAATTGGAATCCAGCTCTGCTCTTGCTGAAGAGAATTTCTAGGCCTCTCCTGTAGAAGGTTGTATTGATGCAGTAATAACTTTGTACAGGGAAAATCTATTAAATAGATTTTTACCTCACAAAGAACTTTTTTTTTTTTTCCACTGACTTGCTGTGTTTTCAGGGACATTTCTCCATAGGAAAGGAACCTGACTAAGCTAGTGGGCAGTGTTCTTCTGAGAAAGTAGATTATGCCAAGTGGAGGAACTTCATGCATTCTTGCTGAGTTAGTGTCATCTTAAAGGCTTTTCTCTTGCTGTCTGCTATATCCTCTGTCTAATCTGCTCTGGTGCCCAGGGAATGAGACTGTGTTGTGTGTTTCATCCATCCTGTCAGTCTTGGAAGGAAGCCACTTTGCTGTTTTGAATCAAGATGAGCTTTTCCTCTGTCTCTCTGTTAAACCTTGGAATGTCTTGGATGCTGTTGTTGGCTGTGGTCATCAGTCAGTCCTGCACCTTGATTAGCACAACCAGTGAATTCCCAAGTCCTCTGGCAACTCCTCCATCTTTGTAGTCGGGCCTGACTTTGGCACCAGGCTTGACCAGCCTCTCTGCTGCTGTGCCACCTTCTGTCTGTCCTGATGGCTGCACCTCAGCTCGGGTGCTACTTGTGGCTCCCATGTTTCTGCTCTTGGCCCGTGGGGCACCCCAGACCTGCAGGGAGTGAGGGCCACTGCTCAGGCTCACCAGCACTCACTGCTCCAAGCCCAGCTTTTAGTAATGGCTCATCAGTTAGTGTTGCTGCCTGCATGAGGCGTGTGTCTGTGTCTCTCTGTGTAGTGGCTTATGACCTGTACTAAAATAATCATAATAAACCAAATCCCCTACTGTTTTGAAGGTTCCCCTTCTGTTTCAGAAGTAATGAGCAGGTGTGGTGAGTCTCTAGTCCACAGGAATGTCTGTGTGGTCCTTGGTGAGCAAGTAGTTGGTTATCTTCAACCACTTTGAGCAGTGATACTGCGATGCTGTTGCTTTTTTTGTGAGGATTGTGGAGGAGTCCTTCTGCAAGAGACTCTTCCTCACTTTTACAAGAAAGTGTAGCTACAAATACATCTCTTAATGAAGTTTCAGAAGGCACCAAGACTTCCTTCCGTGCTACTATGTTTTAGATGGCTACCTGCAACTGCAATTGTAGGAGGACTGACTTCTTTTCTCTTTATGACCCATGTATTTTCCTTGATTTTTGGGTATGGATATGGCATATTTTCATCTTTCAAATTCAGATCAAAGCCAGGCTTTTGGGGTTTAGCTCCTTTAAACAGTGTTGTCTGAATGCTGGCTTTGGGAAAACGAGGGTGTCTTCTTAGAGGAAGCAACAATGTAGGCTGAAGTATGAGAGGTGCCTGAGAAGTGAGGGTCTGAAATCCAAGGTTCTGACATCAGAAGCAGGTTAACAGGTAGGAGTGTGGGAAGGAAGACAAGTGGATAACACTAAAGGCTGGAGGGAGCGATGCAGAGCATCTGGGAGCAGAATTCTGTGTGTTTGCACCTGCTTGGAGCTCATGATGTGTTTTATGCGTGTGGCTGGTGCCTGGGCACCTGTGGCGGTGTTTGTAGCAATGCTGTCAAGAGGTCAGGCAGCAAGAGGGGAAGCAGAAGGGTTGTAACATGCTCCACGGGAGGCTGTGAGTAAAAACAGGCTTATATTTAATTCCCACCTGTGTAATCTCTGTCATCCTGTGGGGCAGGATAATGGTCAGTTGTGCCCTTGGTGTAATAGGTGGGCACTGAGCAGCAGTTCCGTGGAGAAGTCAAATGGAACACTCTCATCCTGGCTCTGGTCACCTTTACATCCCTCTGGGTGCTCACAGACACTCATTGGTCTTTGACTGTTGCCAATGACTCCAGCACTGTACTTTGTTTTAATGCCAGCTTGCTCTTATGTCACAGCTGCTGTTGAGAACCGAGATACGGTCATGTATTGTGAAGACTGTTATGAAAAAGGAAATTAGAGTGGAGTACTGTGTAGTGAGTAGCCACGCTTGTAGTTGTGTTGTTGCACAGTGACTTGTGGATGAGAGTGCACAGCAGTGCATGGTTTCCCTTGTGCAACTAACAGCCAGGTTGTTTGTAATTTCCCGTGCTGTTTGAAACAGGGTTCTCATGTATCAGCCATCTACTGCCAGAGTGCCCAGCGTGACGACGGTCGATGCTGCTGCTATTCCTCCTTCATTAACAGACTACCCAGTACCATTCCATCACCCACCAATATCCAGTATTTCATCAGACTTGCCAGGTAGGTGCTGGGTGTTTTTCATGTATGTTCTGACAGCAGTATTAATTTATGGGGTGGGTAGAAATTGGAAGAATTTGTTAACTCTTTGGTTTTGGCTTTTTTTTTTTAATGGAACAAGTCTATATGCAGTATGGCACTGATGTGATGTCTAGACAAGCCTAGTATAGGCTGTCTGCCCATTTTCAGATTGCATTTTGCAGCAGTGATGTGAAAAGCACTGCTTTTGGGGTACAAACTGGCACATGAGCACGCACAGCAGCCAGAAACTGCGCTTGCCGTGCTCGGCCAGACTTTGTGTAAACATCCTGTAGTTACGTGTTGTAGATGTGAGGGAGAGTAGTTGCTTGTTTTAGTTACTAGAGCTGTGAGGGTGCTAACTCATCCCAGCCCTCAGTGTACTTACTCTGCTAGCTGATTGTAGTGGTGCTCTGTCTAGACTGTATGAAAAAGGTTAAGGTGAGCTACAATCTGTGAGCTGACCTCTATTGACTTTCTTTACCTAGACATACCCTAAATGCCTATGATGTATTCTTCAACACTGCTGCTAAATATCAGACAAAAGGTGGGGATACTGATTGTTTTCTATCCTGGCTCCTTGAAAAGAACACTGTGTATAGGGACTCTGGGGGTTCTCTTGGCCGGCTGTAACAAACCCAGAGCCCAGGAAGTGGTGACTTGTGGTGACAGGTGTCACTTTGGCCTCCTGTACTTCCCTTTCCCTGCTCCATTGCCTGTCTCCATTCCTCCCCTGCAACATCTCTGGGTTTTTTCCTCTTCTTTCAGCACCAGTTTGGCAATGAGATGGATATCATTCCCCTTGTTTCTCTGTCCATTTTGGCTCCCTTACTGCTCCCTCCCTCCACTTCTCCCTTGTTAAGAAATCAGTAGTCTTCCCAAATTGGATGGGAGAATAAGCTGAGAGAATGGAAGTCTAGAACTGTTGTTCAGCTCTTACCAACCAAGTTCTAGAACTTGTACAGACAAAAGAAGCTGTCAGTTCTGTAAATGCAACTGACCTTTAAAATCTCCTTCTAAATTTTTCTCTAATAGAGAAGAGGAGAGATTTCACGGGCCAGAAGAGATTTGGAGGTGAGGGGAGAGGGAGGGAGTATATCATTTCTTTCTGTTGACATAGCAAACACAAGGCCAATATTTAGGAAAAAAAAAAAAAAAAAGTGGTAATTTCTCATTGGTTTCATAATTCTAAACATCTTGCCTTAAATGCTTACACGCAAATGGTGTTTAAGATGGACACTAGTTGTGACTGCTCTAAGAGGATATACATTGAACTACTTGTAGTTTCCTCTTCTTCATTCCTTTTATTTGTCTAGACACAAAACGGGGATGATATTAGAAATGTTTCCTTATTGGCTGCCCGTGGGTGGAGGAAGAGACCTGCTGCTTGTTTTTGGACTTGTGCATGTTGTGACTTTACTTCATTCCAGCATCTTTAATGTGATGACACTCTTCATGTCCCAGTTTGGCCAAGTCAGGTACAATATGCAGTGAAACTTGCATTAATGAACCAACAGCTCCAAATGGCAACCTCCATCTAAGCAACCACATTGAACCACCCTGCAGTATTCAGTGAATAATACATCATTATGTCATCCTCATTATTAGAAAGAGCCACATGTACTAGATAATTCGTTTTGCTGCTGCCTGAAGTAGTCGTTGAGAGTGGTGTCACAGTGGTATATTCCATTTAGAAACTCTGTATGAATTGCAAAATCTATTCTGCAACCACAAAAAAAAATCCTTAAATTTGTTGTGTGTGAATAAATGAGAGACTTGACTATTTATCATCCTTCTCTTCTTCCTAGGTCTGGATGTTCTTTCGCTATTCCCAGTTGATTCACAGGTATGTTTCTGATCTGTTATGGGGTTAATTTCCAAGTCTGACTTTTTTAACATTGTGCTCCAGTAATGATCAGGGTGTCATTATCCAAACTGTGTTTGCAGTTCACTTGCTTAGACCTTACAGCAGTCTAGGAACACCTAGCAAGAACTGGTAAGGAAGATGCATTAAACAGGATTCAGTTTTGCCTTTCTATGATGAGCCCAGGCCTGGAAACTCACTCTTTACTGACAGTTTGCCTTTTTAAAGTAAATATGTGCTCAGCACTAACTTGAATATACCCAGAGTGTATTTGAGGCCCAGGCATAGGCTGCACAGAGCAGCTGTGGCTGCCCCATCCCTGGAATTGTCCAGGTTGGACAAAGCTTGGAGCAGCCTAGGGTAGTGGAAGGGGCAGGGGATGGAATGAGATGAGCTTTAGGGTTCTTCCAACCCAAACCATTCTGGAGAACAAAAAGGGGAGGGTGAGGGAGGAGGTTCATGGCTGCCATCCCCGTTTGGTCACCGATCTGCAGAACTGCGGTTCTCGCCGTGGTCCCGCTTGGAACACATCTGGTGCTTGTTGTGTGGGGAAGATGTATCTTCAGAGCGTACATTTCTCTGGTGCAGTTAGTCTCTTCACTCTTCGTTGTTTGTTTCAAGCAGTACTGTCCTCCTATGTTTTTGGATAGTCTCACCTCAACCTTAACAAGCAGCACGCCTGGCAGCATCATCACCTCCACCAGCCACCACGAGAGCAGCACGCACGTTAGCTCCTCGGGCCGGGCCGAGGCCGGCGTCATCACCAGCAGCGGCGGCGCGCCCGACATCATCTCCCTGGACTGACCCTCGGGGCAGCACGGGACCCACAGGCATTGCACACAGCTGCTGCTGCTGCTCCTCCTTCCCCCCACCCCGGAATTCCAGCACCTCGGAGCTCACGCTGATATTTATTGAAAGGATTTGCCTCCTGGGAGAGTGGGGTGAATTTCGCTGATGCTCGGAAGAGAAGCGATAGGATGACTTTTGGTTGGGTTTTTTTTCTTTCTCCTGCTCGTTGAATAGCTGGTGTAGAAAAGGCCCTTTTGAGAATACGTGTTCAAGCTTTTTGTTTGTTCTGGGGATACTGACTTTCTGTTGTGTGGATTCCATAAGTGCTTTTTGATTTTGTTGTAAAACACAGCAATAATGTAAAAACAAATGAGTTTGTTTTCTTTTTTTTTTTTGATAAAGAAAAGCACTTACTCGCTCTAGGACAGCAGTTAGAAAAAAGTGCAAAAGTGTAGGAATTAGTGAATTTGTAATATTTTCACTGGGGCCTGTAATAAACTTCATTAAGAGAATGAAGCTTTGAAATAGCCATGACGTGTTTAATGTCTTGTTCCCCACATCCCCCATTAAGGGGACATAGTGGAAGCCACTATAAATGGAGTTGTTGGGGGTTTTTTTGCCTAGATTCATGTTCACAAATGCAACAAGAACCTAAGCTGTGACCTCTTTCCTTTTATGTTTTTTTTTGAGCTAGGAAGGGGACAGACTATCTATGCAAACCCTGCATCACACAGTCTCTGTGCTGCCGTGTTACAACTGGGACACCTTGCCACCACCAAAAACTCCCAGCATACAGTTGAATGCACAGCTGCATTCTGTGGTAGCTGTAAGAAGAATAAATAGGAAAGAGTTTCTCCAGTGCAGGAGTGTTTTCTAGGATTTCCTGATTATGGTTTATGTCTCTTCAGCACCTGCTGTATTCCATGTGGACTGTGAGGGAGGCTTGGCTTTTTAGGAAACAGAAGCCATAGCTGCACAGTGTCCCCACCTAATTTTGAATTGTGTGTTCAGGGCTTAATGATGCTTTGCCCCACATTTCCTGGCCTCCTGATTGTTGCTTTTCTACTTCAAAGGGAACAACTCCCCCCTGTTTATTCCTCTAATGACTGTGCTGCTTTGTTAGTGTGTATGCAGTGTCTGCCCACACACACCTGGGGATAACCTCAGCAGTACTGTATATGGAAGAGGTTACAGACTAGGAAAACCAAGTCATTTCCATAGAGCTGGAATAATGATATTGTCTATGTATGCTGAAATAACAGCTTTTTCAAGTGTTGCGTTTCTTTTAAGTAACTGTATTTGAGATTATTTCTTCCCTAATGACCAGATCTTAACTTTTTTTGCTAATTTCATGTTCCTTTTTTCTTACCTCTTTAGTTGGATGTCTGGTGCTTTTTGCCTTCCAGTACTGTTACAGTATTTGAACCAAGTACATGGATGAAATATATTGAAACAGGATGTTTTGTAATTTTTGTCTGCCCTGTATCCCTACCTTTAATGCTGCATTACTGTTCCTTATTGCCTTTTTTGTATGATATTTCATGCAGTCCTGTGTTCACATGTTGGTCTTAATAGTGCCCCAATCTTTCTTTTCTTTTTTCTTATCAGTTTAATATTTTGTACCTGTTAAGGATCAGTTGTTAGCACGATTTATTTCCAATAAAACCATGCTTGTTATGAAGTTTTTCTTGATGGCCTGCAGCAGATCAGTGCTTTCTGCATCACCATTGCACGTCGACTTGACCTGTAAGTAGAGTGTGGAAAGAGGTTCCAAGAGTAATTCTGAATAAAAGATTTAAAACTGGTCTCTGCTGAAAATGCTGTTTGTGCTCTTAATGTCAAACTCGAGTGTGGCTGAGGGGATGAGAGCATCTTGCATGTACATCAGAGAAGTGAAGTAAGGACAGGTGTCCGTCCTTAGGATGTGCTCTAAACATTCAGGGTATAATAAAACACAGCTGCAGTTTTGTAAATTACTGTGCCACATGTAGCAGGCAGTAATTGGGGCTGAGGCAGGATGGTGTTGTTCAGCCTAAAACCTTCCAGAGCCGTGACACCAACAGTGCAAGCTGGAGACATTTCAGCCTGGATTGTCACAGGCCGTGGTGTGTGTGCGTTCCTGCAGTGCCAGTAAGTACAAGTCCTGTGTAACCCCTGAATCCTTTAACTCTGCTGGGGATGAGGGTGTACCAAGGTGACCGAGCAGTGCAGTGTCCCCTTCCATCTTCTGCTTCCACAAAAGAACAAGGAATTTGTTGGGATGGGTGGGGAGGGGCACAGGGGGGCTGCAGCTGAGGTGGGGCCTGCACCACTGCCCTGCTGCTCAGTCAGACTGGCCAGTGTAGCTAGGTGTGGCTTTGGTTTATTTCCCTTCCAGCAAATCCTAAAACACATCAGAATGTCTGTCCAGGAACTTCTAACAAGAAAAAGCTTGGAGAAAAGATTAGATAAGGTCTTGCCTGCTTGTTTCTGCTGTGGGAGTTTATGGTTGCAGCTTGGAGTGGACCGTATCAAACACACTTTTGAGCCAGCTGCAGAAGGGCAGTAAAGCTGCTGAGGTTAGTGCACTAACACCTCCCCTCTGCACAAATAACACCGTGCTGTGAAAGCCTCACTCCACACACTGGTGTTCCCCTCACCTACTCATTTGCTATGATTTTTTCTGCAGTTTCTGGAAGTGAGCTAGCTGCTGAAATTCTAGTGACAGGAAGATCTACCTTAAAGTCTCTCAGCCTGAACTGGCTTCTGATTTTCGCATTCACCATCCAATAAAGCTGTCGGAGAGCCATGGAGGCAGGAGTTTGCTGCCCAACACCACCACACCTGCTCCAGGAGACCCTGCACCCATCCAGCAGCAGGAACAGGCATTTCCTGAATTGAAAAAATAGCATGGCCACAGCCCCAGGGCAGTGCCCGTCCCTGTGCTGGCGCTGCTGAGGCACCTCCAGTGCTGGGGACAGCTCTGGGCCCTCAGGACAAGAGAGACACTGAGGGGCTGCAGCGTGTCCAGGGCAGGGAACGGAGCTGGGGAAGGGGCTGGAGCCCCAGGAGGGGCTGAGGGAGCTGGGAAGGGGCTGAGCCTGGAGAAAAGGAGGCTCAGGGGGGACCTTGTGGCTCTGCACAGCTCCTGACAGGAGGGGACAGCCAGGGGGATCAGGCTCTGCTCCAGGAACAGGGACAGGAGGAGGGTGCAGTCCTAGGCTGGGCCAAGGGAGGTTTAGATTGGACATTAGGAAGAAATTCTTCACAGGGCATTTGGCATGGGAGTGGGCTGCCCAGAGAGGAGACATTGTCACCATCCCCAGAGGTGTTCAAGGAAAGACTGGATGTGACACCCAGTGCTGTGCTCTGGGTGACAAGGTGGTGGTGGGGTCACAGGTTGGACTCGATGACCTCAAAGGGCTTTTCCAATCTAATTCTTTCTGTGATTCTGAACTGCCAGCCTTTTGCCATCCATCCCCCAGAGCACAGAGGATTCCTGTTAGGAAATCAAAGAACACGTATTTTGTCTGAGAGGACAAAACCTGACCATACAGCAAGAATTGCTGCCGGAGCAACAGTGATGGGAGGCACTTGCTAGATTAAAAATTATTGTGGTCTAGGCAAACTGGAACAGTCCTAAGTGGCTTTTTTTTAAAGTGGGCTTTTGACACAGGCAGGAGTGGTCACAGACAACATACAGGCAACAAAAACCATGTACATCAAATTTGGATGTAATTTAAATTTTTTTTTAATTAGGTGGTCATGTCATCACCACACTTTGTTAACACTGTGTGTATTCAATGTGACACTCTAAAAAATTTCCACTGGGCAGTGCACCACACCCCATGAAACAGAGTGATTACTACTTACCTAGGAAGTTATCCAGAGGTGGAACAAACTCCTCGAAGCCTTTGCCTTTACCTATTTCAGTCACGACTTGCCAAGGATCTCCAGGCAGAATCTGCCAATGATCAAAGATGCACTGGAAAAACCTGGCTGCCAGTGTTGGATCTCAAATCGGCAGTAAAATCTAGTGGGAAGGAAAAAAAAAAAAATTACAAAGGGATTAATTAGCTATAGGAAAAAATAGGACAGGCTTATTGTGTGTTTCTGCATAGACAAAACCCTAGAACACCCTAATGGTAGCTAGGAAACAGCTGCTTTCCAATTAATTCTTTAAAGCAGGTAAAAGTGAGGCTAACTCCTACTTGCAGAAAGATCTCATGTGACCAAGTTAATTGGCAATAGAAAGGCAAAATTCAATTCAGATAGAATGGGATATGGAGAAAAAGGTGTTTCACACGTCACAGGAGCTGACCTGGTCAGCTTGAGCTCCTTGGGCCATTGTAAGGACTCAGAAGTGTTAATTCAGCGTTCAGAAGCAGCCAAGATGAGAAATAAGAGTGCTTGCACCTGTTAGGAAAGGAACAGGACACAAAACACTGTGTTCAGTGACAGCCTGTCCTTATGAACCTGTGCAGTGTGGCTCTATTATTATCAAAGCAATTACTGCAGAGAAGGTTCCAGAAGGGGAACATGAACAAAGCCCTGAACACACTCAGCCAGGCTCAGGCCCTCAGCATGGGAAAGGCAGCAGATCCAGAGGGCTAAAAATTAAACCTGTGACAGAAACCTCCTAAATATTCAAACCCAGCTATGCAAGTACGTAAATTATTTTTTCAAGGAGTTAGATTGCCAGTTTAGACTTTTTAAGTTGTCCATCTCTTATTTAATCACTTTTTTTATCACTTAATTACTTAAGCAGGTACCACACTGATGCTTTGAAAGGAGACACCTCCAAAATAAAACATGGCATTTCTTGCAGTTTTTCCATGTGAGGAGCTCCAAATGTGCCCCATGAAACTTCCCAATGCTACAGGATACTCCTGAAGTGCATTTTTAAAAAGGCAGGAGTGAAATGGGACACAAAAACAAACCATAGTACCAGAGGAAGGGCTCTGTACCACACTGAAAAATGTTCAGCAGCAGCATAAGATCACATTATTTTTAAGGTAACCTAAGGATTGGCAAGGGGGTGTCCTGTCATGGAAGCTCCTTTGGCTGGCACAGTGTCCTCCCTTAAAACTTCAAATTTGTACTACATTTTCTACCCTGCTGCTGCTGGTGACCAACTCTTCCTCCTAGGCTTGCTGCAAAGGAAAATCTTTACTTAAAATGATGGAAACCCAACCTAAAAGGAAAAGTCTGAGTGTGCAGGAGCTGCCACATCTTTCTGGCACCCTATGCTGGCACCAAAGCCTGGAGGAGCTGGCTGCCAGGAAAAAAGGAGTAAATTATCTGGAGTTGTTCTGAACTAAGATGTACAGGACAACAGGCTGACACGCAATCTGATAAATACTGTACCAAAAAAAAACCCCATCAATTTGGCTTAAAAATATCACTACAGCTGCAAAACTCCCCTGCTTTGCCAGGATAGGTCTCACAAGTCATGGAGGTGGAAAAAATTCTCCAATTTGCTCTTTTGTCCTTGCACTCACAACCTTCAGCCCTGATGGCCAAGAGATTTTTTAAGCAGCTGGGCAGGTATATTTCCTGCCCACCACTCAGCACTGTGGTCTAGAATCAATTTTTAAAGCAGGTTTTAAATCTTCCAATTGCTTTTAAGACAGTTAAGACAAATTGGTGTGTGAAAAGCTGGGCTTAGTTATAAACAAATACTTTTAGGATGGAATGTATTTTTCAGGCTTTTTTGTGGAAAAATTTAATTTAGTAAGAAAATCTAGTTACTCAAAGGCCAGAAGTTAATGTTTAAACAGTTCAAAAAGAGTTTATTTTTAAAACCCCAATTCTTTCTGCTCTTTCTGGTTATTTAGGCTACCCATTGCTTGTTATCCTAAAGATTTAGTGACAGAAGGAAAGGAGAAAAGTTACCTCCAAATAGTAACTTACCAGAAGTTACTAAAGAACAATTTACCTATTTCCATTTAACATTTTCATAACTTTAGAATAAAAAAGCCTCGTAGAATCACAGAATGAGGATGGTTTGGGTTGGAAAGGACTTTCAAGTCGCTCAAGTCCCACCCCCTGTCGTGGGCAGGGACATCTTCCACTGTCCCAGGATGCTCCAAGCCCCATCCAGCCTGGCCTGGGACACTTCCATGGATCCAGGGACAGCCACAGCTGCTCTGGGCACCCTGTGCCAGGGCCTGCCCACCCTCCCAGCCAGCAATTCCTAATTCCCAATATCCCATCTGTCCCTGCCCTCTGGCAGTGGGAGCCATTCCCTGTGTGCTGTCCCTGCCTGCCTTGTCCCCAGTCCCTCTGCAGCTCTCCTGGAGCCCCTTGAGGCCCTGGCAGGGGCTCTGAGCTCTCCCTGGAGCTTCTCTTGTGCAGGGGAACAGCCCCAGCTCTGCCAGGCTGGCTCCAGAGCAGAGGGGCTCCAGCCCTGGCAGCAGCTCCATGGCCTCCTCTGGATTTATTCCAACAGGTCCAGGTCTTATTTTGGGTGCCATAGAGATGAACACAGGACTCCAGGGAATTCGGAGCCCAGCCCCTCTCCAAGTTTCTGCGTCACTGATCTAAAGACATTATTCAATGTTCAACATTAGAACAGAGCTATTGTGGTTTCCTGGAAGTGAATGTGAAAATACATTTAGGTGTCTATCTGTGGCATCTCTGGTTTTGTCACAGTTAGGTTTACAGTTGGGTTTAATGATCTTAAGGGTCTTTTCCTCCCCCAATGACTCAATGATTTGGCAATTGCAAACCCAAGTGCAGGCAGGTGCAGAATGAATTGAGAGCAGCGCTGGGAGAAGGACCTGGGGGTGCTGTGGGTGAGAGCTGGACCTGCCCCAGCCTGAACCCCCCTGCCCTGGGCTGATCCCCAGCGTGGGCAGCAGGGCAGGGGGGTTCTGCCCCTCTGCCCCTGTGCTCAGGGCTGTTCCCCTGCACAAGAGAAGCTCCAGGGAGAGCTCAGAGCCCCTGCCAGGGCCTCAAGGGGCTCCAGGAGAGCTGCAGAGGGACTGGGGACAAGGCAGGCAGGGACAGCACACAGGGAATGGCTCCCACTGCCAGAGGGCAAGGACAGATGGGATATTGGGAATTAGGAATTGCTGGCTGGGAGGGTGGGCAGGCCCTGGCACAGGGCGCCCAGAGCAGCTGTGGCTGCCCCTGGATCCCTGAAAGTGCATCAGGCCGGTTGGGATGGGGCTTGGAGCAACCTGGGATAGTGGAAGATGTCCCTGCCCATGGCAGGGGGTGGCACTGGGTGAGGTTGAAGGTCCATTCCAACCAAAACTACCCTGGGATTAGAAGAGAGTTCTGTCTCCTTTACAAAAAAGTTAAGTGAGCTAGAATTTAATCCTAGCATTCCTCCATCATATTCCTGCTGATCTCCACACATTCTCCAAGTCTAAAATAAATACAATTTCGTTTCCCACACAACAGCATCCAGCTTATAGAGACATAAGCCAAACTTTGTGTGGTACCCCAAGGCTTTTTTTCCTTGTTTTCTCCTTGCAATACCCTGTTCAACAGTGCCAGATTACTACTTATAACACAGAACAGTTAATCTAAATCCATTTTAGGCAGTTTTGCTCATGTGTGCTGGAGGAGTGCTGTATTTTTGACACCCCTTGGTATTGGGGGAATTTTTTTTTTTTTTTTGCCCAAAGCAGCTTCACTGTCTGGTGGCCTCTCATAGAGGAGTGCACAGTGGTGGTTTTTTTGCTGGTACAGGGTAGGGTAGGTGAATGGTGATCACCTGAAGAAAGGCATGTCCGGCAGGGAGCCATCAGCACATCATGCACAACATAGGAACCCAAAATTCACACTAGAATTTAAACTTGTTTCAACAAACATAACAACAAACATAAAAATAAACTTCTTGTATTCCATATAGAAGGCCTAAGTTAGGGATTCACTTCAAGTCAGTTTAATTAAACTCAATTCAAAAAGTCAAGGCAACCATTTGAGATTTCCCAATGACTATTTAATCTTTTAAATCTGAAAGCTACGGGTAAAATACTTATTTAGAACAAGCAATTTGGACACAATTCTGTGTTTGAATTACTAAAAACCATCACTCATTGTAGTCTGTGTTTCCTTGGGCTGGTGGCTTACGTTCCAGCCAAAGGCTGGGATCTTGGGTTATATTGAGCTCCTAAAAAAAAGCCATGAATGTCCTTCAAAACTGTACTATAAATACTAAAAAGAAAAAGGTCCATGGATAGCCATATTTTATGGTTGTATTTTCCATATAAAGAATATTAAAAAATAAACACAAATGTTTTAATAAATCTCTGGCCACTTGTCACAATGATGTGTTAGAATTTCCCTTCTCCAGTGAAGAGTTAAAGAAATTTACACATCCCCTGGGACCCCTTTTCCTGTGGGTTTTACCAAATCTGAGGAGAACACGAGTTACAAAGAGAACTGGGCAGGTTCTTAAATTCTCCTAGCATTCAGTGCTGCACAGAAAGTGCAGATGTGCTTTCAGGCATTGCTCTGCCAGGGACTGGCTGGAATTCAGTCTTTTTGGGTACACTGGAATCCATGAGAGCCCACAGAAATCTCATTTTGATTGCACAGACACAGCATTTGTATCAGCATTACACTGAACACCTTGAGAAGAGGCAGGAAGGCAGTATTTGTGTCTCTTTCTAGCATGAAATAAAAAATTCCTCTCTTTTCTTAGACCAGGTGTGTGCTTTGTGTGCTGCACCACACTCACATCCTGTTATCTCCATGGCAAGTTCAGTGCAGTTTATTCCCAGCACAACATTTCATGTTGTGGCATTCCTGACACACAAATTTAGCACTGACCAGGTTATAAAAAGACAATTGGATATGTTATTCCAGGTACAGACTGTTCAGATTTTCCTTCTGTCCCACATTTTTCACACTGTTCTTTTTTTCCTAATATCTACAGACAGTATGGACCCTACTTTAGAAGAAGGTTGGCTGTCCTAAGGGTTAACCTGCTAAACTAAAAAAAGGTCTACACTTACCCTCTTGCAATCAAATCAAGACAAAATACTGTTTTACCTTAAAGACAAGATCCAGAACTAGCTGGCAGAATGTTCTCAGCAACTTCTTTCCATCTGGGCTAGAGGCTCATTTGCTGAGTTTTCCAATTGCTGGATCAAAATATCTGAAGATGTTTATTTTTACTCATCCAGTTTGAACTCGCAGAGTATCCATTTCCCCTGCAAATTTCCACTTAGTTACTTTTAAAATAAAGCTTTGCAAAGTTTCACATTTAAGCAGGGATTCAATTAACAGAAGGTGGCTAATTTCAATATAGAATAACTGCTAGAAGTCTGTGGAGGCAAAGGATGGCTTTTTGTTAATTTAGGCAATTGATTGATTGATTTTACTATAAACACTTTGCATTTTTCCAGGTTGGACAGGGGTTTGGAACAGCCTAGTCTAGTGAGAGATGTCCCTGCCACTGGCAAGGGATTAGAATAGATGACTTTTAAGGTCCCTTCCAACCTAAACCATTCTGGGATTCTTTGATTTCTTGGCTTTTACAGGGAAATAGGCACTTAATGTGGTTTTACTATCAAGAATTCTCCTAGTCCACCCTGCTATCTCTAACTGCCTTTTGAAGCCTTGTTAAAATCATATAAATAAGATAAATCCTGGAGGAACCTGTGAGCTGCAGGAATCAAGGTATGTCAGTTTATTATAAGGCAACAGAAGACAAGCAAATACATTGAACTTTCACACCTGTATAAATCATTCTGTTAACAACAAGTACACAGCTAATAGCAAATCAAGCCTGTCAGTTTCAACAATTTCAGGTTCATTAAATTCATACAAATACTCAGTGGGATCATAAGAATGGATTTGGTCCATCATCTTGTGTTTGTACATTAATTTTACCCATGCAGGCCAATGAAATCATTTAGGTTCTGAAGCTGTGAGAGTGAATCTTTGCTCTTACAGAGAAGAGAAGGCACACACAGAATATCTACATGACAAGAATTTTCCTTTCTCGGTGTTGCGGTTTAACACTCAGATGTTTAAATATTTTTGTTGCAGGAGTTCCAGACTCCCTCCTGAGGCTGCCTGTGGGAGCTCAGCCGAGCAGAAGCACTTGTATGCACTGCTGACATCCTCAGAGTGTCACTGTGGTATCTCAGCATGGATCCGCAGCCTTCTCTCTGCTTCCTTTCCACCGCAGAGGCTTCTCACCACCTCTTCCACTTCTTTTCAAGCTCAGCCACAGCTTTGAAGGAAGAGTATCATTCCATACATCAGGAATATTTATAACAAAAGTCAAATTAAAACTTGAGAAATGTATTTCTAAAGCTCCAAGTAGGATCTGGAGGATGATTGCTTTGTGATGTTAACTGAGTTGTCAGTGAACTTTCTCTGGCATTTTAAATAGAGGTGGCTCATTCCTGCCACACAGATGGAACTGGCCTGACTTAAGGGTGGCTGAGATCCATGGAATATAAGAATCAGAGTAAAATCCTAGCTAAGAGACCTTTATTTCAGTAACTAGGTAAGCTGCAGTCAATTTCAGCTGTAAAACAAGCCAGTTCCATCTGAACAAAGGGAAACAGGACTCAAAACTGCTGAGAAAGTCAGTATTGTACCTCTTTGCTGAAAAAAATAGTATCTGAACCAGCACAGTTCTGACAATTCCTCCCCCTAACAGCTGGATGACCAGAGGAAACTTCCAATTGATTTTGCTTTTTTATTTTACAGTTCTCAACTGCAACACATAAAATACCATTTGTCTTTTTATCCAGCTATGTTTCCAGAGGTATCCAGCACATTATCATATTATAACTGATAGAAAAACAGAGACATCTTTAATCAGAACGGAGGAAATTAAATACCTTCTCAGTCAGGAATAGCAGAAAGGCCACGTTTCTCGTTGTGTAAGTGACAGAAGCACCAAAGTGACGCTCAGAAAGCCAATATTTCGGATTTAAAAACGCACAGCTCCCCTTCAGCAGTTTGCTCCAGCCAGATGTCTGACATTTGGGGTTTGAATGACACTGAGAAACCACCTTGAGGATTCATATTTTGTTACTAGAGGATGACCCACTTTGTGAATTCTCCCTTCCCACCCAGTTGCTTTCACTCCCCAGTTGTTTGCTCTGAAATATCCCCAAAAGAAAGAACATGGGACAATGAGAGGGAAAGGGGACTAAAGAATGAGTCTGAACTGCCATAAATGTATGCAATTATTTTGCTTCTAGTCTGGTATTCTCCAAAACAGGGTTTCAACCACAGCAAAGTTTTTCTATTTTCTTTACCATAATATCACCCATTGGTCCAATTTCATCTTCTCCATATGTTGAATTGGTGACAGTGAAATTTTTCACAACATTCTGGGTTCCTGTGCTTCTTGGCTGCCAAGACTCCAAAGACTTGTGGCTGGATATTAAGAAACTGCACTTTTATTGCTTCCAAAAGAGGCAGAACAAGGGTTGTTTTTCCTTTCTAAGACCTTCCCTCCTTTCCATGTCCTTATCCTCAGATACTCCTTGTAACTCCTCTCCTCTCTCCCCGTCTCCACAAAAATAGAGGGGGACAACGGAAAAACCAGTCTATGAGAGGCTAAAAATGTTACAGCTACAATGTAGTAAGGAAAAAAAAAAAGGCACTATACAACAGTAAATAGAAAATTGTGCAAAAGAGGTAACGGCCTAACCAACAAAGGTGAAGTGTCACATGGGGCCCCCGGAACAAGGAGAAGATGGTGAGGGCTTACAGAATGATTCTGATGGTAGATGGGCGCTGCTGGTGCTGCCTGGAGCAGCTGTGGGCCTGCAGTGGCAGTTTCCTGCTCCCTCTCTGCAGCACTGGTGGTGGCAGGGGCGATGGTGATGGGTGTCTCTCCCTGCAGAGCTCTGTTTGGCACTGCCGCTACCATCAGTCTGCCACGCTGGGCGTGTGCGTGGGAATCGGATCTGCCGCTCCACTGCCTCTTCCTACCACCCTGCTGGGCTCCACTGGGCTTGGCTGGACTCCCTTTTGGCTTGGCTGAACTCACTTGGTATCAGTGTCACCACTCTGGGCTGCACTGTTCTGCTGGAGCAGAAAAACAGTCCCACGTGCCACCCTGGCCCTGATGGTTTCAGTTGTGTGTCAGAGCTGTCACTTCCGTGCCACCCATCTCAACTCCGTGGCCTAAAAAATACTGTGGAAGGACAGAACTGGGGGGAAAAATGGTGGTGGTGCTTTGGTCCCAAGGCCTCTCTGCTAGAGGGAGCCAGAAAGAAGGATCCCCCTTGCATTTGTGGTCATGGCATTTCCCTGCTGAAATCACACCCATGGCTGTGATGTAAAATGTTTGGAATAAACAGTGCTGAAAGATTCATGACCTGGTCTCTGTAGCTAGGAGAAACCTCTAAATGTAATTGAAGTAGTGCTTCTCCTTGTTTGCTGCTTTCGAGAATGGAGAGTGTTGGAGTGGTTTTGACTGAGGGCAGCAAGAGGGGTGATCCTTCAGTGAAAGGAGGTTTTGTGAAATTATTTCTGTTGATTTGGGATGTTGTGAAGGATACAGAGAGTGGTCAAGATGGATGGGATACTAAGACTAATCCATTGCACTATCCCCAGTTCTCCCTAGACCCCTTTCCCCACCGCACTCTCCTATCCCCGCTTCCCCTGCACCGGGTAGACAGGGGGGAGCAGACCGTCCACAGAAGACGCAGGGTTGCCACCTTCTCCCTGGCTACCCCAGGTCCCCTCGGTACCTTCGCTCTGACAGTGTTGGTCATACTGTCAGAGACACTGTCCCTAACCCTTCTCCTAATCCCTCTTACCCTGTTAATAGTCCTGGTTGCTCTCAAGGAGGCTCTATTCCACCAAACCCTTTCCTTTTCCCACCAAACCCTTTCCTTAACCCCTCGGTAGAGGTACCACAAAATGGCTGCTGCCTGTTGACGCCAACTTTACCATCACAAGATGGCCGTCGCCACGTGGTGAGTACTTCTTCTCCCCAGAATCCCTTTTTACCCCCTCCCACACACACCCCAGACTCTCTTCTTCCTTTCCCTAACCCCTCCTCTTCCCTTGCAGCAATTAGTCAAACCCCTCCCAGGTGCTATTGCACCGCTCCACCCACTGCACCACCCCTTGAGGTTGCGTCACCTGTTCCCACCCCTTTTCCCACAATGCTGACACCACCACCCTCTTCCTACGTCACTCCTGCGCAAGGCTCCACCCACCAGGACCCTGCCCATCACCTTCCTGTTTCCCACACCCCACCTTCCGGTTCCCACGGTGACGTGGGGGGTGGGAGTGCTGGGCCTGGAAAACAGAAAGTGGACAACAACACCAATCCTCTGTTCCTGGCTCCAGTAACCTATAATGCAAGAGGGCAACACCCAAGATGGGAACCCCTCTTGTATGAGTTCATAAGGGAGCTCTGTAAAACCAAATGTGAATTCGGCCCTAAAAGTGAATTCTTTAGGAGCATTTTAAAGGCAACATTTAACTCTAATACCATGGTCCCTGCCGATTTAAAGCGTCTATTTAGTTGCCTGCTCCCTCTATCAGAATATAAAATGTGGGAAAGAACTTGGAAGAGATTAGCAGGGGACCTCCTTCTGGGTATTTTACAGAGCGCCGATTATGCCACTGACATAGAAGAAGAAGAAATCACCATAAACCACCTTGTTGGTGAGGGTGACTGGAGCCAGGCTCAGAAGCAGGCTGCAGGGATTCCTAGGGCTGTATTAGATCTTACAAAGGACACTGCAGAGCGGGCATTCCTTAGCATGCCCTCTAAGGAACCTGTTATATCATATATTGCTCTTAAGCAGTCTGTTGCAGAGCCGTTTATTGACTTTGTGGACCAGGTGAGAGCTGCTGTAGAAAAGAGAGTGGAAGGGCAGGAGCTACAAGATCAGCTCATACTCGAGATCGTCACCACCAATGCCAATGAAGATTGTCGGTGGATCATCTTGGCACTCCCAGTGTCCCCTCCTCCGACGCCTGATCAACTTCTTGAGGAGTGCACGAGGAAGGCCACCCTGATGGCTGGGGATG